TTATTCTTGGACATGAACTCTCTCAGCCAAGGCCAAGAACCCTATTACGTCGATAAGTAAATAAATGTATTCACTCATACATATGAAGAACTTGTGAGGATGAAAGAGTCAATGTCAAACTCATCCAATAGGAGCAGATTTCCAACTTTATGAATGATGGTAGATGTACGCATCTTCTGATCGAAAATCATTTCAACCAGCCTTTTGATGGGCTACAATACTGCATGTAAGGTACGCAAACTTACACGCATTCCGCCAAGAACATCAAACTCGGATAGAAAGGAGAGACACTGGTTGGCCATCTTAAAGCTACAACATTTTTACATAAATTGTACAAATACCTTGTGTAGGGCGATTTTACGGTATCAGCCATCACAGCGTGATAAACTACCTCTTCAATGTTCGTCCGCCGACATAGATAATTTAGAGGACGATTGTGCAGATTAAAGCCCTTGTGTAGAAGATTAATGTCCGTGATTTCATCCGCCTTTTTGAACAGCACGACCGCTTTGTCATCCTTTTTGTCGACTTCTTCGACCTCTTCTTCCTCAGCCATGTACTCAAAAAGTGCTGAAGCGCAGCAAAGACGGAACAATGTAAGTGGGTGGATTAACTAATTCGTCTGAAATGAAAGTCAGGGAACCAAAAGGAGATACGACTGCACAATGTAGAACACAACTACCAACAGCCCGCAGTTTTCTTAGGAAAGTAGAGGTGGTCAAGAAAAGTATTTATATAAACAGCTTGCGGCCAAAGAACTAAAGGAGATTAAATTAAGGCAAATGAAGACCTGCTTCACTCTCGCCTCGATTTTCTGTAGGGTTAGAGAAAGCTACGACGGTTTCGCCGTCAGAAACAATAACGCCGCTATCATCCGAATGCTGTTTGGGCGATAAGCTGAATGCTTTGATGGTGGGTGTAACGCTCTATCAGGATATTATTTGAGAGCCCAAAGGCAGCACTAGAAGTGAAGTCACAGCAAGAGCAAGTTGTAATTCTTGTATGAGCAGGGAAGTATCTCGGCGAGTGGAGTCTATACGAATGATGAGCTCATATAACAAGTTTAGGATCGGGACCATGGCAAACGGCACATCGAGGATTTAATATTTGAGAGCAGCGAGTGTAACATGTTCTGCAGATGCTAAATTGAAAATTAAAATTAACTAGGAAATCTCATGGCTGACACAATGAATTTATTTGTTTCACAAACAGTTTACGCAAATAACAAGTGAGAGACCAAACACAGCACCTGACAACATTTTTGGCGGGTGCTTCCGCGCGTAGATAACTTAAATTCGTACAGCCACATTCTGTATGAAAAAATGTACACTTGTACCTGGTATAGTCAAACAAGTTGACTGAGATAGGACGCACTTGTTACAATAAACGGACGAGCTCACTCTCACATTTATATAACCTGCGGCCGCTAGTGTCAGTATCGGTCTAAATGTGGGCACTATCAATAATTTTATAAAATAACCACTTGGGTTCGGGAAAGTTCAGATATAATTTATTTTAAATCATCATTCCATATATCCTCGTGCTTTTCTCATAAACTTCTCGATTAAAATTGAAAGTCCTTACGCATAACCGGGGTGCTACTAATAACTTGGAAATTTTCTTATCTATAGTCGTGAGAAATACATTGTTAATACTGTATCTCTCATGATATACCGTTCCAGACCGTTTAAACGATCTATACTATACTGAAATTTCCTCAGCCGCCCCCTCACGCTATGCCCCCCACCCTCCTTCATGTCACGCGTGAGTGCATTGATTTGCCTCAGGCATCCCACGCCCGAAATGCGGGCCAAGTTGATTCTGGTCGATACAGACGAAGGGTTGACAACTTTGACACCTTGACAGATGCAATTGGGAGGGCCAATCAGGTGCACGTAGAGTAGGATTCGTCTCAGCCGTGCCATGTCCTTTTCACGTTAGAAATTCTAACGTCAGATGCCTGCGCCAGCCAAAACAAAAATCTATTAGGCTACACCGGACGTGCACTCACGCGTGACATG